CCTTCAGAAATCATTCTAATATGCTGATTTGCTGCTCAAGAAACATTTCTGATTATTATCAATGTTGAAAACAGTTATGCTGCTTCATATTTTTGTAGAAACCATAAAAAAATTTTTTTATAGGATTCTTCAGGACTGGCAAGCCGTTTTTAGAATTATTTGGTACAACTCTTGACAGTTTTAGAATTAGCAAAATTTAGCAAATTTTACACAAAACTGGATAAAATTAAATGTGTAGTATTTAACTGAGCCACACAATGGAACACTGTATCCCACAATGCAATGTGCTCAATTTGACCTTCCATATTCAGTGTGACAAGTACTCTGGACATGGTGCCTTCTTGTCTCATTATTTGGCAAGCCGTTTTTAGAATTATTTGGTACAACTCTTGACAGTTTTAGACTTCCAATAAAAGCAAATTTTACACAAAACTGGATAAAATTGGAAGTTAAACATATTTTTGAGTTGATACCGAAAGAAACATGTAACATACTAAGGTCATAGGACTAAAATGTAGCTCTGTTTGAAACATTGATTATTGCATATTGTTTTACATACACTATCATTCAAAAGTTTAGGGTCAGTTGGAGTTTTTAATGTTTTTGAAAGCAGTCTCTTCTGCTCACCAAAGATATATTTATTTGATCAAAAATACAATAAAAACAGTAATATTGTGAAATATTATTACAAATCAAAATAACTGCTTTCTTTGTGACTATATTGTAAAATGTAATTTATTTCTGTGATTCAAAGCTGAATTTTCAGCATCATTACTCCAGTCTTCAGTGTCACGTGATCCTTCAGAAATCATTCTAATATGCTGATTTGCTGCTCAAGAAACATTTCTGATTATTATCAATGTTGAAAACAGGTATGCTGCTTCATATTTTTGTAGAAACCATAAAAAAATTTTTTTATAGGATTCTTCAGGACTTTTTTTTATCTGAAATAGATTTTTTTGTAACATTACAAATGTATTTACTGTCACTTTTAAACAATTTAAAACCTTACTGACCACAAACCTTTGAACATTAGTGCACTATTATTAAAACTGGTATGCACTGTACATAATATACTGTATAGAAAGCAGTACACTAGTAGTCCATTCCAAACACAGTCAATTAATCGAAGCAGACGTGCAACAAAAATGATATAACACATGTTTAGGTATGAATTTTTATGTGAATAAACCCACACTCACTGAAAACCAAACACACACACACACACACACACACACACACACACACACACAGTGTGTTCAGTGTCACGTGATCCTTCAGAAATCATTCTAATATGCTGATTTGCTGCTCAAGAAACATTTCTGATTATTATCAATGTTGAAAACAGGTATGCTGCTTCATATTTTTGTAGAAACCATAATAAAAATTTTTTATAGGATTCTTCAGGACTTTTTTTTTATCTGAAATAGATTTTTTTGTAACATTACAAATGTATTTACTGTCACTTTTAAACAATTTAAAACCTTACTGACCACAAACCTTTGAACATTAGTGCACTATTATTAAAACTGGTATGCACTGTACATAATATACTGTATAGAAAGCAGTACACTAGTAGTCCATTCCAAACACAGTCAATTAATCGAAGCAGACGTGCAACAAAAATGATATAACACATGTTTAGGTATGAATTTTTATGTGAATAAACCCACACTCACTGAAAACCAAACACACACACACACACACACACACACACAGTGTGAATATACAGCTCAGCTCACGTCAGTCAAATCCAAAACAATCATTAGTACCTTTCAAAATCATTGACCATCCAGATGCATCTGAGCACATTTATACTGCAGTAAATGATGTGTGAGAAACCTTTAGTTGCATTAATCGGGCAATACCAGCCTTTATGAACCTTTTCTGTATTACGTTTGACACATCCAGCAGCATTATATACATTTACGGCTTTGTATTGAATTGCTTTGCACAGATTAGATCGAGAACTCCTGTAACAGATGCCTGCGAAGTGTGACGCAGACGTGTGGTAGGGTGACGTCGATGTCTATCGCTGCAAAAATACTCCGGGGTTTTTGTCTGCAGAATAATGACTCTTTATTTCAGGTGGCACTTGAGTTGAAACATGAGACCTTTTTTTTTTGGCCTTTCAGGCCACTTGAAGATTCACCTGGTTCCAGGTGAAAGGTCACATGAAGGAATCTCTCCGTCCAGGTGTTGAGGCATTTCTTTTTCCTGTATTGTTTTCTCTCTGTCCTGATACGCTTGATCTGCCCATCACAGGGAACGTGAGTCCTGGTGGCCAACTTGAAAGCGTCTGTATCACGAGGACGGCGCCTCGTTCCAAGAGTAAAGCTGTAGGGGTTTCTTTAGGGTATTTGAATAAAGGCCATTCATGGTGGTGCAAGTCAAAATCCAATTTCCGAATCCGTCTGAAAACTCCGGGTACGTGAGCAAAGGATCGATCCTCTCGCCAAAAAGCCTGACTCTGTAATGAAAAAGAGTTGAAATCATTTATGAGGAAACATTACTGGCGACGGCGCTGTCGCAAATCAATTCAGCTGACATTTCCATCAAAACAGCCGCTTTCATCTTTATCTTTTCCTGTGGGTTGAGACATTAACTGATTCCGATGTCATAAACTGTCTCCACTGAGTAATTAAGTGACTAGTTAATCAGGTTGGCCAGTTAATACCATGTGACGGTGGAATTACTGGATGGGGACTGCTAGTAAATTTCACAAAGAAACAGCAAGTAACACATTGAATAAACATGACGTTTTCATGAAGTCTAAACTCTGAGAAAGTATTTCCTTGTGAAACATACTATGCTACTCTGTTTTATGACTTTGAAAAATCATTGGAAACGTGAGAGAAGTATGACTGTTAGCTGGGGCAAACAGCCGTGAGAGCTGCTTTCATTCGAGGGGAATGCTCTGTCCTGACACTTTTCAATTTAATGCATCACTACTGAATAAAAGTGTTCATTTTTTTGTGTACAGTAATGAGAACCGAGAGGTAAAGTGTGCTTAAATGTCCTAAATACCACATCAACTGTTGGCTTCTTTTTTTTTTTTGGCAAAATATAATTTCTTATATAATATATATATTTTCGGAATGAATGCCTGGTGCAGTATGGTACCTCTGCTCTGCTGTGTTCAGCAGGATGCCAGGGGTGTGTTTACATGTAGTGCCACTGACTCTCCAGCCCCATATTCACTCCCCCAAGACCACCCAGAGCCGCTGAGAGACAGACACAGACAGAGACAGAGAGAGAGACTTTAATGCATGAAATGCATTTCTCAGCTATTATATATTCACTATATAATATATTCACAAAAACGTCGACCAACAGCCTTGACAACAGACCTTTCACATTTTATTTGGTGAATTTTGAGTAAATACTGTGTAAAGAAAGTTTTCTTTTAGGAATTTTGATGTACATTTTGTCCCTCAGACAGAGGCTTGATGTACCTGGTGGTCTGATGCCCATGTGCGACTGCCCGTCCATTACAAAACCAGCCACTGGCTGACCATCAGGAGTGTACGGGCCACCGTGACCTACTGCACACACACACATATGCATGCATTACACACATATATTACACAAGAGACAGTTAAGAAGGTGAGACATTACTACGCCAGCCGCTTCCCAGAGGAAATGTGTAAACAGATGCGATGCTAACAACACTCCCTTTCCAGTTCACCCAGACCATTTACTGAAACCAAGCTACAAAAATAATTTCGTAAGCATCTGTTTGGACAAATGTCTTTGAGGTTCATTGCAAGCAGCAAGCCTTAATCCTCACCAGACCAACATGCATCACACTTCATCCTTAGGAGTGTTTGTGTGTGTGTGTGTGTGTGTGTGTGTGTGTGCATCTATGTATGTTTGTGTGGGTGCGTCTGTGTTGTGAGAGAGAGAGAGAGAGAGAGTGTGTGTGCGTCTGTGTGTGCGTTAGAGAGAGAGAGAGAGAGAGTGTGTGTGTGTGCATCTGTGTGTGCATCTGTGTGTGTGTTAAGAGAGAGAGAGAGTGTGTGTGTGCGTCTGTGTGTGTGTTAGAGAGAGAGAGAGTGTGTGTGTGTGTGTGTGCGTCTGTGTGTGTGTGTTAGAGAGAGAGAGAGAGAGAGAGAGTGTTAGAGAGAGAAGGTGTGTGTGTGTGTGAGAGAGAGAGTGTGTGTGTGTGTGTGTGCGTCTGTGTGTGTGTGTTAGAGAGAGAGAGAGTGTGTGTGTGTGTGCGTCTGTGTGTGTGTTAGAGAGAGAGAGTGTGTGTGCGTCTGTGTGTGTGTTAGAGAGAGAGAGAGAGAGAGAGAGTGTTAGAGAGAGAAGGTGTGTGTGTGTGTGAGAGAGAGTGTGTGTGTGTGTGTCTGTGTTCATCCTGAAATATATTTTACATATACATTTTAGGGGCAGTTCATGTATGCGCATGTTCTTGAGTTTAAAAATAGCACAACACAATTGAACAGAAATCATGTTTGGAGATATACATTTGGCCCATTGTTTTAATTTTCAGCATGTTTGGAAATTGTTTTAAAACTGCTGCACACTAAAACCTTTAAATTTGAGCCATGGTCTTAAAAAAATGATGTTCATGGCACAAAACACTGAAAAAAAAAACTGTAAAATGCAATGCAACAGCCAAATTCATTCATCTCACAAATATTTGCATAGACCAGTAATTAAAATATAGTGCAGATGGAACGCGAGAGCATGTCCTGGATGAACGGCACTTCAGTGTAGCTCTGAGAATTGAAACTAAAATGATCAGTTTACAAGGCACTTGCCTGCGCGGTTGGACTGGTCGATCATCGGTTGGACTATTCTTCTCCTGGCGTTGATAAACCTGATGAAGCAAAGGAAAGAACGGGTGAAAACAGGAAAAAAAAAAAAAAGACAATAAAAGCACATTTAAGTTCTATTAACGCTGCTGGCTTCTATCAAAGGCAAACATCATTAAAATTATTGCTCATACTTATGATTATGGATTTGAACAAACCCAGAGTATTAAACTTTGGCATGTAACTCATCCAGCACCGTTTGTGCTCCAGACGTGAATGATTTCTCAAATCATGCAGCTTATGAAGTCTAAAAATGATTAGATTTATGACTTTGGATGAAAAATCCAATAGACTAGAGACCAGAATAACAAAGCCGAGAGATTTGTGCCAGTAAGAAACACTTAGCAACACCATAGCAACCACCCACAACATGCTATTGGTGGCACATTTTCAGAGCACTAGTTTATTTTAACACAGAACATAAATTAACACGTTCCACAGAACTTCAATGCTTTCCGCATTTATTCCCATGCTACGCTTGACCTTTGACCCCCTGACTCAATGACCTCACACCCCGGGCAGCGGCACAGCTCTGCTCTTTCTCAGCCTAAAAAATTCCCCGTGACCTCTGACCTCCGAGTGTCAGGGCACAAGTCCACACATGATTAATGACCGCTCTGCATCACCCCAGGTGCTTCGCTTCCATTTTAACCTTCACAAAGGAGGGGAAGTTCTACTTTGAATTCATAGGAAGTGAATTACACACTCTGTGAGAGGTGTCACCATCTGAAATGTTAAAGACCATATGACATTAGAGACATGGGTGAGGAGAATCACCGGAATAAATTACATTTTAAAATATATTCACAAAGAAAACAATTATTTTAAATAGTAATATTTCACAATATTACTGTTTTTACTATATTTGCATTCAAATAGATGCCTAGGTGAGCATTAAAGACATAAAAAAAATGCATCATCTTTTTCCCAAGCATCCTACTATTCACATTGCAATGTACTGTACATTATGCACTGGAGTCTTAAACACACAAAACTATATTAAAATTTATGGAGATCACATGGAAAAATAAAAATGCCAATTAAAATGTGTATTTTATAGGCTTTTATAATAAATTGTACATATTATGTTGCACACCACAGCTTAAGGAGCACTTCTCTCGATTAATGCTGCATTAAAAGCAGAATAAAACCAGAGATAAACATGAAGAGCAGAGTCAGAGGTCGAACATTCAGAGCAGGTACTATAAACACTTTTGTGAGCATCTCTCTCAGCTCCTCCCGTTAGGTGACCAATCAGAGATAAGAGCCGTATCCCCAGCGGGGCCGGGCCCGTCCCACTCTTTAAGGGGGTTAAAAGCTGACCCTTCACTGAACCCCTCTTCTCACCACGAGACCAAGTTTACGAGCTTCATGCCTCTGCCTGTTCACTCCAAACACACACACACACACACACTCGTAGAACAGTAACTATGTATATATGTAACTATATAAACTATGTAACTATGACATTTACAAGCAATTTCTGAGTAAAGAATTGTACTATATATATATATATATATTATATGGAGTATATGTGGGTTTTAAATATTAATATTTACAATATACTGTGGGGATGAAAATAAACCACAAGTGAAAACATTATAATTAGCATTTTAATACAAAATATTTATTTGCAAATTATATTATCAGTATGATTTAAGTGAAAAGTTGAATTAAAAATCAACATGAATTTCAGTTCATGCTTAATGCTCATGCTTACTGTCACAAAAATTTGTTTAAAATGTAAATTTAAATATATCTTTGTTTTACATCACCACTTTTCTTTATTATAACATTTGTGAAAATTAGTTTTCTGTTCATTTCCAGGTTTGAATAAATAAAAAAATCTCAAGATTTTGATTGTGGTCCCAGACTTTCGGACCCCACCATACATTCCTACGCCTCATAGTTTATATTAATTCACCCTATGATATTTGTAGCCTATTGAAGCTAAAACTCAACAACAGTGTGTGTGTGTGTGGAGAAAGAGAGTGTGTGTGAGTGTGTGTGTGTCTCCACGTTTAAATAAACCAGTCCAGCTGTTCCCAGTGATAATTTCTGTTTAATTTGACAGCAGCTCGTTTTCGCCCCTCTCGTTCCCTCGCCTGTTTCCTCTGCGCTGGAGCTGCAGACATACACACCGCACTTTCTGTGCTCTGTTTGTGTTGGGCTTTGAAGAGCACCTAATGTCTTTTCACTCTGGTGATTAAAATGCTAATTAGTTGTCATTTTGATTATGAAGGGCTCTGGAGGTCTAGAGTGTTTACTGTTTACAGTGATGAGCCAAAAGCCAAAGACGAGAGTTCGGCCAATTCAAATGTACTTCATGTAATAGAATCTGCTTTTAATGGTCACAGAAATTATTAGATATGACAGAATAGACCCGACTACACCCACAGTCCAAAATTTCATTTTTCAATATATATATTCTTAAGTCGACTAGTGCTTCTCAACTGGAGGATCACAAGGAGTTTGTGAATTATTAAAGGAATTTCTGCATGGAAAAAAAATAATACATGCTTAAACTAACCATGTAATCGTGCATGGTTAGGATAGCAAAACAGATATGCTTATCAGCTTAAAAGTTGATAGGGAGGAGAAAACGCTTCCTATATATTGCTGTTGACGGCCAAGGCTGTCAAACGCATATTTATCTGTAAAATCTCGCCTAATAAGACAGATGCAAACATGGACAGGTCGCATGTCATGCCTAAAAACACGGACAAAACTACGCAAGCTCCAAAAATACGATCCAGACTGCATTAAGTAAGGGTTCAGTTGCTGCAAGCGTAACCAGTGTAAGTGGCCACCACAATGTGTTTTTGTGTGGTGAATGACTGGCTGCCGAGAGCATGAAGACATAGAAATTCAAGAGACATTTAGAAACCAAACACTCAGACTATAAAAACAAGCCTGTTGAGTTTCTTTAAAGGATATGTCTGTCTGTCTGTCTATCACAGAAATTAATACTTTTATTTAGCAATGATGCATTAAATTGATCAAAAGTGACAGTAAAGACATTTATAATGTTATAAAAGATTTCTATTTGAAATAAATGCTGTTTTTTGTTTTCTTACCAGTTGTTGACCTGCAGGATGGTCAGTCCAGTGTCCTGGGACAGCTGCCTCTTCTGTTCCTCAGAGGGGTACGGGTGCTGCGAGGCACATACAAACTGAAGTTGATATGAAATAGTGTTCTCAACCCATTTTACTTATGTAATATAACGTTAATAAGTGAAACAGAAATCTTTGATGAGAAAAAAATAGTGGTCCGGGTCTGCCTATGGTTTGGTAACAAACAGCCGGGGTATGGCAGGGGAGGCTACGGCATGGCGACTGTCATACTCTGCCTATACGGAAACACCACCCCTGATTAAAATGCATTTAAACAAAAATGTAACTGTAATATTAACTTGTAATTTAATATATAATATGTTAGGTTTTAAGAGAAAACTCTTAGCTAAAAACTTTTACTGCTATTTAGGAGAACTCTTAGTGGTAAGATTAAATGTTTTGTGAATACGGGCCCTGATTATTATCCATCCTTTATTTTTTTTTTGGTATAAAATACAACTTAATAGATATTACGTAGTTAGCTACTTAACTTGTAATGTAGCTGTCACAGAGTCACCAGTAACGCCAGATCCTTCAGCTCCACCAGAATTCTGATGCTCTTCACCTGTCAGCACTCATCAGTCTCAGTATTTAGCCACCTTCCCATCGCCACCTCAGTGTCTGGTCTTATTGTTCACTAGCGTGTATCAACTTACCTGGCTGCTTACCTTGTGTGTCCTGTGAAACTCAATGAAGAGTTAAAGGTGTGTGTGGGGTCATTATCCTGTTTACAGAGGCAGTAAAACTGTTAGGGCTCTAATGATCGGTAATTCAGGGTGAACGGTACTTAAAAAGACTCTAAAACACACCCAGCCTCACCTGCTGCAGCTGTGTGTGTGTGTGTGTGTGATGGTCTCTGTATTGTACTCAAACACTGCGTCTAGACTTTAGACTAAACTCTCCCTAAACTCTTTTATACCAGTGGTTCAACTGGTGGGTCACAACCCCAAAAAACAAAGCTAGATGAAAATAATAAAATGTTAATATAATACTTTTGAATATTTTGGGGCATTTACTATATACATATATGCATATTTATAAATAAAGATATTAAACTTTAATATATTTTATGTATAATGTATTATTTTATTTGTTTATTTAATATTTTATAGTTGTATTCATATATTATTTTTTCCTAAATATGTTAACATTTTTGCATATTTTGGGGCATATACTGTTCATGGTAATATTATATGTTAAATATATAAATATATCATATTATATATTAAGTATATAAAGTGATATACTAATATTTAAACAATGTGTGTGTATAAACACACAAAGTATTACAATTAAGAATTGATACATAAATATATATTTTATTAAAATATAATTCTATATAAATACAAATGTATATCTGAAATCTGAATTAAACATATATGAGAATATATATATATACATACATACACATATGATTATACATGTGTATATATAATACATATTTTGGGGCATAATACATAAAGTATTATAATAAAGAAACTATACCTACATATATATATATATATATATAAATGTATTTATTTCATTAATATATCATTCTATATATAAAATAAACAAAAAATATATTTATTTAATATTTTATTAATGTTCGTTGTCTGCCATCATCGTCTGTCTTCATCCCAGCACACTGTCTCAGCCTCACCATGCAAAGAGACCCACAGTGACTATTCAGCTAAGTCTATGCTCAAGATTCTCAGCCATATTATCTCACCTGTGATCATCTCTTGCTCTCTCCTGAAAGCCTGAAATAAAGCTCTGTTAGACCGTCATTTACCTGTGTTGTCTCCTTCTGTTTGTTCACAGTAGCAAACTACTTTCTCAAATGGATAGCTTTATAGTAGCTGTACTCTAAATTACGAGTAGCTTGTTACTTGGCAAGCTAGTTTTAAAGTAGCTTCTCCGACACTGCATGAAACGGGTTTTCATTTTAAAAAGATGTTCCTGCAAAGACTCAGCAGGCCGACTGTGATTTTCATTAACTTTACAGCGCATCCCAAAGCGAGGCTCTCCGTTTCATCTCTGCGTCTCCTCCTCGCCTCCCCCCCCCCTCTGCGTTTACCAAAAAAGTCTGGCCGTGATGAATCACCTCTCCTTTCTTTCTTTCATTCTCCCCAACATTTTTCTTTTCTGCATCCTTTTCTTTTCATGGGCAAGGACGGAAATTCCCTGTAGGTCTAGCAGAGCCCAGGTCCCCAGGAGAAGCTGTCAGAGCCGTAATGGATGGTGTTTTGATAGCAGCGAATTCGACCCTGTGGGGGGAGGAACCCCAGCAGATCCATCTTCACACAACATGCCCGTGCAGTTCGGCTAAATGAAGTCTGTCGCGCCCACCCCGCCCCCACTGCAGCCTCATTTTTTGGGACTGACGCTAATTGCGGCTCCCTCATTACAACCAAATGCTCCAGTGCTTCAATGGAAAACTACGCCTGTGGAGAAACCGGCTAAAACAGTAGCATGAACAGCCTAGAAAGTATAAAAGCCATAAACAAAAGGCACTGTTACAGGAGGGCATTAAATAAGTAAAATCTCTGTATTCCCAACTGTCTCTTTCATATATATGCAATGATGTAATTTAACTGAGATGTAAAAAAAAAAAAAAAGTGTACCCAAGCATGAAAATTACATCATTGCACAGTGAAATCCAATACTCATTTCTTACTAATAATAAAAAAGAAGAAGAAGATATGCATGCTTGTTATATCTATGGGTGTATTACTAGACCCTAGTACAAAAACCTATGCCATAATTTACGTTTATTTCATACTAAGTATACTTCAAATCCATTAACATATTTATTGACATCACTTCAGACTTACTGATATTAAATTATAATTAAAATGTATTTGGAGTATTTCTTTATTGCACAATGCTCATTTCTTAATATTATAACTAAAATGTGTTTTAATGTCACTATTGATGAGGATTGTATGATCTTTGAATAATATCCGTCTTTAAATGCAAGATATTTAAAGTAGACCTGAAGTATACTTGCAAGATTTCCACTTTAGCACAATCATATATACTTCAGTATGTCTTTAGTTGGACTTCAGCACTACTTCCGCATTAAGTACAAACTTAGCTGTTCCAATTTAGCAGACTTTAACCAGTTTAGTATACCAAAAGTACAGTTGCAGGGTATTTTCATTAAGCACAGGTATTCATAAAGCAAATGCATTTGTAGTATACTTAGCATGAAATTTCAAATACATTTTGGTATGTATTTTTTTCACTAGTATTTTGTGTGTGTGTATATATATATATATCTCTATTCTAAATCTTCATTCATATTTTGTGAAAAAACTGTATGTAACAGAATTTTTGCTGTTTTGAACTAAGCATCACCAAATTAAGTAATGTTAGGCCAAGTCAAATATTTTGGCCAATCAGCAGATTTTTTTTTTCTTTTTCAAATCAGCTGAATTTTTTTTCAAGATACAGATCCAAGCCTGCATGTTTTTGGGACACAAAACTTAATGCAACTCATGCAACAATGAACCGTCCCAAAAAAAAAACACACAGTATAAGTAGTCAAAATGACTCATGCATTATGAAAAAATGGCAGCATATGGGTCTTGAGAAACAGTAAGAACGAAGAAAATAATGACTGGGTGAACTATTCCTTTGGTCTGCGCTGCAGCAGAATTAAAGGGTAATCAGTGAGCGGAGGTCTGCGAAATCACATTTACCACTGACAAACACGAATATGGAGATTGAAAATGATCAGAGCCTGGGAAGAGGCCGGGTGGAAAACATCTGAATTAGGTTTTGCATGCGCTTCTCGTGTTTCTAAACTTCAAACAGAAGGATGCAGTAATGTCTGCGATGGTGTTTGTGTGGCTGCTGGAGCTGAATGGATCAGGCAACTGTACGGGAATAAAGGTTGGGGGCGCGTTCTTTTACACCCACGACCTTTGACCCCCTAATGATCTCAGGGAATGTTGTAATGTCATCTATCTGCATGCTAACCACCTTATTCGGCGCCTGAAGGAAAGCCCTCGCGTCTCGAATCCACAGTCTGTTTCATTGTTTGCCTCCAAATCACAGTGAAGTGTGTTTAGGTGTTTGTGTACAATAATGTTATAAATATGTACATTTACCCTGTGACTGTCATGTTAGTTCTTAAGTTGATCATGTGCTGGTTCTCTTCTCATATAAACTGATTTCAGCAGGGTTTGGCACTGTTGCTAATCTAATCACACAATACTCTAATAAGCATTAAGATACATAACACACAAATACTGAGTAAAATGGTTTTTTACACTCTATATTGAAATAATTATAAATATATCAACACTTCTTGCATTTTATTCACCATCTTGGATGGATTTTTTTTCCCAGCTTGTGCATATTGTATTGACTCCTCTGTGAAGGATATTTGTGATTCTGCCAGTTTGCAAAAATACAATAATATTATATTATATTATTAATATTATAATAATTTTTTGGAAGTCAGTAAAACAGGGGTAAAAACTGTCATTTGTGAAATATTATTACAATTTAAAATAACTATTTTCTATGTGAATATATTTTAAAATATAATAATAATTTATTATAATTTATTCCTGTGATGCAAAGCACAGAATTTTCAGCATCATTACTTCAGTCTTCAGTGTCTTCAGAAATCATTCTAATATGCTGATTTGCTGCTCAAGAAACATTTCTTATTATTATCGATGTCGAAAACAGTTTTTGCTGCTTAATATTTTAGTGGACACTGTGATACGTTTTTTAGGATTGAATAGAAACTTCAAAAGAACAACACATGAAACATAAATCTTTTGTAATGTTATAAATGTCTTTACTGTCACTTTTGAACAATTTACTGCATCCTTATTAAATTAAAGTATTAATTTATTTATTTCATAAATAAATAAATAAAAGAAATATATATTAAAATAAATAAATCTTATTGAGCCCAAACGTTTGAATCCATATGGCAAAAAATATATATTTCCAAATATATATTTCAAGATATACAAAAAAGTATATTAGTATAATATACTAATATATATTAGTATATTTTAGAAATATAAATATATCTTTTTAAAAGGTATATTTTGATTAAAATGTACGCAGCGATTATCGGTTAGCACATGTTTAGCTCGTTCCTGTCCTCTTGTGACTCTTCTATAAATAATAATAAAAATACAAAAGAACGAAAGCAATCTGAAAGCAAAAAAAAAACCTTCTAAAATGTTCCTACTTTAATGTTGGTTGTTCAGGCAGCTTTGGATTCTGCTGCTTTACATCTGCTGTCAAGAAGGGAACAAACGACCCACTAATTACCCAATCCAAATCACAGCCTTTATGTGGGATATGAGCTAGTGTTTATGAGGCAGTGTGAGCGCTTATTTGTTTGGAAGGAGATTCAACAAGTTTCCAAATGAGAGAGGAGGAAAACAAGGATACAGAGATTCTCTGAAAGCAATATCACTGATTATATATTCAAGGCTAGAGGGAGGGGGAGGGGCTCTGAGTTGTGCCCGCCCACTTTACCATGGAAACCGTTATCACACTGTACACATGACAACAGTAAGGAAACCCTGCCTGTGTTTCATCCCAATATAGCATTACACCGGTCATTAGTGCATCTCCGTGTGTGTGTGTGTGTGTGTGTGTGTGTTCACTAACTAGCCTCCAGGCAATGTAGGAGCGTCACTGAGCTTGAAATAATGTAGCCGTGCAGGTACAGACACGCCGCATGAGCTTCTTATCTTGTTCTGTGCATCTGTAAGCTGTTTTATTGGTTTATATGTGTATTGATGACCTTCAGATTAAGTTTACAAATATAGAAGCACAACTTAAGGTTACATGATAACTACAGAGCAACTTATAGCGATCCACATCCACATGCATTTAACTTGGACTATACTTTCATTACTGTCAATGTAGTTGAGCATTAATATTTCTGAAAGCTATAATTATGACATTTACATTTATATAGCATAAAGTCGAATAACTTTTGCCCTTAGTTCAGCACATTCTGGTTTGGTTTTTACTCTATGACAAAATAACACACAATGCGATTTAAAATGATAAGAGCTTGATTTGCATAATCATTGGGAAAGCAGAGACATGTTTTACCGTGAGGTGCTGGAACAGCCATGCCCTCATGATGTTGGTTGCCAGTTTGGGAAAAATGCCTCTTTTCTTGTTGTTCTTCCTCTCTTTATCAGGGTCTTCATCGTCTCCTGTGCTTGGAGAGGCAACACTCTGATCCAGAAAGTCACCTGGGGAAAAGAAACCAATTACAGATAGAACAGTGTACTGATTTTTTTATATATATTTGCATTGGCTTCATTAATTTTCAATTTGCTTTTTCACATTTTTATATCATTTAAAAGGGGGTTTTAACATTTCAAAAACCTTCTAATGAATGCAAATGCATATTTAGTTTGATGTTTTTTCTCTATTAAAGTACATCACAAGTACTTCAATTTCATTCACCATAATTTGAGCATGACTACACTGTTAATTTCTTTCATCACAACATAATAATCACATTATTACTTTTTATGCTCTAAATATAAATCATAACAACTATAATTATTTCAAATTCTGTTTGATATGGTTCCAACATCTCTGATGAGTTTAGTTAACAGTTAGTTTTATTAAAGTGGTCATATCATGAGGAGCCAAATTTTCCTTTCAGACCTATAAATGTCCTCCCTTGTGAAAATGACCATTTATTGAAAATAACCAGAAAAAAACACATTGTTTCAAACTAGTTGTCATGTCAGACAGAAAAAAAACTGCACTGTAAAAAGTGTTAACCTGCAACTGTTACCTTAAATATACATAAAGGTAGTTTTGTTGGTATAAATGAATGTATGTAGGATGATTCAGTGATGTTCAATAATATATTTGACCTGAATAAAAGCACTTAATTTAAATGTTACCTAAAATTGTAAAAGAAAAAAAGTAAAAATGCATAACATGGCCCCTTTAAATTCAGTCTAAAAACAAAAAAAAATGTTTACAGTATAAAATATCTTTACCATTAACAGTCTTAAAAGCATGCTCATTCCTTTTATGCGTCAAAAAATGTCATGCAAATAAAATTTTAGCTGTTTTTGAAACAAACTTGACATAAAAAAGTAAAAAGGTTTGATATGGCCCCTGACCTAAAAGCTAAAAAAAATAAAAAATAAAAATAAATTGTCATGCAAATGTTACAGTATTAAAAGTCTTAACCTTTAGTAGTCCTAAAAGCCTACTGGCAGCCCTTTAGGTTTATGCAGCCGAAAAAAGGTACAAAATGTCATGAAAATTTAATTTTAGCTGTTTTTGAAAACAAAATTGACATAGAAAAGTAAAAAGGTATGACATAAAGCTTAAAATAAGAAGTCAAGCAAATGTTTACAGTATAAACAATGCTCTGTGCTTCATTGTGATCATTTAACTGTGTGTTAGTCTGTCTGTTGTTTCTCTTTCTCAGGTAGTGAGATATTCTGTTCGAGCCAGACTCACAGCTGCTGCGCTGAGGCACAGCGAGCAAAACACACACACACACACACACACACACACAGATGCGGTGCTCGGGGAAGTATGTACTCTGGTTTTTATTGGCCATGGTTGGTGCTCAGAGCAGAGGAGCCCAGAGAAGAGACTTTATATCCATCATGCACCATTTCCTGTCCAACACACATCCACACACACACACACGAGCGGCTGCAGTTATTTAGGAGCAGTCTACCGGTGTGTGTACTTGCGTGTTTGTGTGTGTGTGTCTGAGACCCCCGTGGTGGTGCTAAAGTGTAAATGTATGCTAGAGATGACAAGCCTGCAGCAGATCTGTTTCACTTGGCACACAGCGAGACCTTCGCAAACACTCGTGTGTATATCTGTAGTAGCGTAGCGTGTGAGTGTGTTACCGTGCTCGCTGCTGTTGTCTCCATTGTGTGAGCCGCGGCGTCTGCCACAGGCCGCAGGAGCTTCAGAAGAATGAACAGATGCAGCGTCGTCCTCCCTCCAGAACGCCTAGAGAGAGACAGACAGAGAGAGAAAGACAGGTAGACAGAGTAATAAGCTGCGTTCAGCATAATATACGATTGGTTAAGTACAGTATAGCGGCGCATACCAGAGGTGTGCTGTAAGGAGTAATACAGAACACATGCTGCAAGAGCAAACAGTTGAAAAGCGCTACAGACTGCTGTATATAAACACACGTGCGCATGCACGCACAACATCTGCACAGAAATTATAATATAAACAAACGCACTCACATACACGCACAGGATATTTTGAAAACCCATCTTGTTGGCTTTAACCGACCGAATGAAGCGGATGGATACAGCCCTGGACGCTGATTGGTCAATTGAGCATTCAAACTGTGCTAAAATATATAATATAATAACAGCTATGACGTGAAACACCTGTGCATCTGGCCCGTGTGTATATCACACATATTGTAGAGACCAACTATGAACGCTGCATGTCAGTGACAACTAAATATTTTTATTATGTTATAATAAAGATGCAATCTGATCAGTGTGTTGCATTTAACTGACACTAAACCTAGAGAGAAATGTCTTAACCCCGGGTTGGCAACCGTTCACACACAAGCGATAAGAGCAAGACAGATTAATATTAGAAGAGACTGTGGCTAGTTGTCACATTTTTGACTCCAATCAGTATTTCTTATAGTGGCATTATTCAATAGATTCAATGTTTATATATTTATACACTTATATATTTATTTAATTCATAGTTATTTTAAAAACGTTAAAGTATCTTATATCTACATTCTGAATTCCATGTTTTATTCAGTTGTTTAGGAAAGCAAATGCTTCAAAATTGGGACAAACTAAAGTAAGTAGTCTACTTTTTATTATCCAGTGCCAATTGTGCACAGAATAGCAACATAGTTTGGTCTTCTCAGAATCACAATATCTTGCGACACGCTTGTAATAAATTAAGATTTTCAACCAGACAAACATAATCCCTAACGTTTCAAAACCACATCATTAAGAGAAATGCACTGTGAGTCATCATCACATGACTCAAAACTAAAAGAGAACAACAAACATATGTGCAAACAATGCAGTAAACAGAAAAACAATGCTTCAGTGATTTACATTAGGTATTAAAGACACACACAGCACACTTGGCAGTGTTAATGAACTCTGATGGATTATTTACACATCATGAAATAACAACATATATTTATTAGTTTTTTATTAAAGTAGGCACTTCAAATCCTTGATCTTTAGTGACCACAGTTCACGTGTTGCTACAGTTTGACACCAACAGTTAGGAAGACTGTTATCTAAAACATTTTGTTTCCACTTCTCCCCCAGGAACCAAATATAATTAGACATTTGGGAGTTTTGAATAACCTGCTTTATAAAATCTAAAATGTCTTTTACTCTCTAAAAGGTTAGGTAACATGAAAGGTTTGTTCATGTTACTGTGTCAGAATTCAAATGGGCAACATATAATCTGAATTATCATGTGATCTGTAATCATTTTGTGGGATTTAATAATGCATAACACTGTAATGTGAAGAGTTAAGTTTCATTTAACCTCAAAAGAGCAAAAACGATTCATAATAAAATGACAGAAGATTGATTATCTGCCGTTATTTAATATAGACTAGGGGGACAAATAGTCTGTGGCCGTATTGTATCACATGAAACAGGAGTTTCAGGCCTCCCCACAAAAACAAACTCTCCAGATTGTGTTTCAAGTTTGCTTCGTATTTGAATGGCTGACAAATGCATTCAACATTTGAAATTATAAATTAAAAATATATTAATGTATTATGGAAAGAGTATATTTAGGTGCCTTTAGGTTTGCTGCTGTTTTATTGTTTTGTTTTAAGTTAAAAATTTAGAATTTTTACATGCACAAATATTCCAAATAATCTCTCATAAAAGCTGCATGCATAATAAATATAGACAAATTACAAAAACGCTTAAAATAGGTTTCACGTCAACTTTTTTCACCAAAGACCCACAGAAATCATTATCTTATATATAATAACTTTTTCTTGAAAAAGCACTAGTGGCTTCCTGGGTCTGTACAAAGCAAGAATATGCAGCACTGCCTGTTCAAAAGCATAGAAAACCAAAAAGATCTGAGCTAAAGACTTGCCGGGTCTGTCCCGCCTGGAGTGCGTGTAAATTCCTCGCCGTCAGATCTGGATCCCCCCTCTTTATCATCCACCATCAGATCAGTGGGCATCTTTCCCTTCAGACAGCTGATGTAGCGGTGACAGAAATTGTCACACAGCTCATGCACCTACGATAAGAATAGATATTTATCATCAATGATCGGCCAATATGTTATTTACATATTTACGTCGCTCATAATAATAATAATAATAATAATAATAAGTGAAAGTCCAACCTTCTCTAGTTCGAGCAGATGAAATCGTAACACTTGTATGGCTTGAATCATCTAAAACAAAACAACATATAACGTCACAAAAATGTTTTGTGATTATTGTTTCATTTTATCCAATAGAATTGAATTGTTTAAGGTAAAAACTACTAGCAATTGATTTTAAAAGATTTCAAACCACAGGGCGACCTACCAAATTATCCAAGTCTGGATTGGACGAGAAGTAAGGTTTTTCCGCCCTTATCTGAAATTAATAAATAGCGATCGTATCGTTAGTCCATAATACACAATTTTCACACAAGATTAAATTGGACTGCGTTGTTGGTTGCTAATATCAGAAGGCCTACTGCTTTTTGATATTGTAAGAAAGCGTTGGTAGACCTGACCTGCTTTGAAAATACTGCAAGATCTTCGTCAAAGGATTCAGACGAGCAGACGTCGCCGGTCACGCCGCTTTCTCTCGGCGTACAAGTCGCTAATTCACATTTTTCGAAAACTAGTGCAAGCAGAGGGAAGAGAGGGTGCCTGAAAAAACAAAACACATTCAATGGAGTTTATAGCCTATTTGTGGCGAAAATAACGATTTGCCTCAAGCACAGGACATTCGGGCTCGAGGCCCTGTCTTTTTTCTCTCCACAATTTTTTCAATAAAAATGAAATGAAATATATTTTATGTGAAAAATTAAGTACTTTTTTTATTTTCTGGTTTTATGCACCATTTATGGTTGCGACAACATGCAAACAAGTTCATTCTGGCATTGCTATAGCCTATCGTTAAAAACTGATGTAGTATTTGTGCTAAATGTTGGCTAGTCTATTTAAATAAATAAAAAACGCTGTCTATATATAAACATTTGCATTACTTCCAGTATTTCAGAATAACAAAGGAGTCTAACAGAACATCGTAAAATAATAGCACAAAATAACAATTGCGACTATTGAAAAATATTTTACCTTTAAATTCTACATTACAGCCTAACTCATCTTCATAACAGGATACACAGGCCTATAGGCTATTAAGCACATACCCGTAAATGGCGTCTTTATCCCGTTTTAGTGCGTCGTTAACGGGCGACAGGACCCCGGGAGCCGCGGGGTGTGCGTACTGGTGAAGCGGCGGGCCGTGACTCACATGCACCGCCTGCATCGCTCTGGCCGCGTGAGGATCCCCGTACATCGGAGACGGGATCCCGACCGCATCCAATCCGTAATGGACCAGATCCTCGTACTGAGCAAATTCAAAATGTGGGAGTTAAAACTCAGACCGGGACTTTGTTGAGCACACATCTTGCAAATGTTGATATAACAGCAGCCACGAGCAAGGAACAAAGCTCTTATTTGTTTAAAAGGTAATAAATTGAGCATCAAAACTAATTAACGAAATACGCGTCAGTGGTTTCAACCTTAAAACTAATTTATTAACGGTGGATCAGTTCTAATTTTCAGGCTCTTTGTGACTTCTAAATGTGCCAGAACGTACAACGGAAAATATGAATGCGTTGCCATTATACCTTAACACATTTTGAATACGTTTTTAATTTTTAAACACATGGAACGTTTCAATTCACATCTTATGTCAAATTTAAATTAATGCTATATCTTAAAATCACCGTAACATAAGAGACCAACATTCGGCTAAAACGAAATATTTTTATTATCAAATTTTCTTTTTATTGCAACTGAGTTTTCTTGTTTACGGCAAATTAAAAATGTATTTAGGATGCAAAATATAACTTAGAATAACAGTGAAGCAATGTTTTAACGGCGTATAAAAATAATTACTGAAATTAACATGTAATGTTAATTATAACCAGTTACTGTAATTAACATGTAGACCGATGTTTTGCAGCATTAAATCGGTCTCGGATAAGTATCCAACGAGAGAAATATGAGTTATGAACAGGCTGTAAGCATCAAGTTACGCTTTTGGCTGTCAGCTATATATGGAATTAGTTGAGATAATAATTGCAAAAAAAAAAAATACACATTTGAACTTGAAAAAATAAATAAACAAATAAAGAATGTTTTTTAGACGGAAATGAAAAATTGAAAAATAACTGAGTTAATTTTTTGGTGGTTTCACTTGTTGCTGTGTGTATTCCAAAACAACTTCATTCAAGGAATTAAAGTACATCTGACTGTAATTATGTCCATTTTTTATCAGCGTCTAAGGTAGAATTAGTCTTGACGGCCACGTTTGAGTGTTTTTTGTTGCTGAGCTTTTTACGCACCCGTTGCGCCATGAGGACTCCGTGTCACCGACTCCCTGTTCTCAACACGTCCGGATCTCAGTGCAGCGAGCCCGGGGAGTCCCACACCGCATTCAAAACTCTCCCGAACACCCAGCTCAAGTGCCCGTGATGAACAATGACATCGTAATTCACCCAAATACTCCTGGTCAGCTTTCGCAACAAACGCAACGCTGGCTATCAGTGAGTTAGAAATCCAGTTCTCGACGCTCCAAAATAACCAAAGTGCGCTTCGGATGTCTGCTGTATTTTTTTTTTACTGCCAATCGAAGATTTGTAGCCAAGGGGTGAAAAGGCAAACTCCATTCGGGTCTTTGATCGCGTGGCTGGTTTATTCTTAATGCAATAACACCTCTATGAGATGTGAGGAGCGTGGAGAGGGAGGAGGAGGAAGAGGAGGAGAGGCCATTTGGACTTCTTAAAGGAGACGTAAAGGGAGACCAAAGCGAACCCGTGCGTAAAGAGCGCACAACTGTATTCCGAGCATGCAGGCCACCGGAAAAATCCTGCAGTTTGCGATTTTTCATACCAGACAAGATTTTTTTTTCATACTTGGACCAGCAGTAAGCCAACCAACAGTCTGAAAGTGCAAGGTAACAGATGACCAGCTTAGATTTACTAGTGGCCACTTTAGACCAGCTAGAAACCAGCATTAGAATTAGATTTTTTTTTTTATCCTAATAATGGCACATGATGACACCTACTAAAAGTTTTATTTAGAAGTAAACTGAAATATCTAGCATTGTAACTATGTAAATTTCTAAAAGTGTGAAAAATACATAAATAGAACACTATATAGGTTTCATTTACTAAATGCATCCTCTAATTTAGGCTAAGTCAGAGAAGGAAAAAGACCAGCAGTGATCTAATGACAACTGTATGTCCAGTATTAACCATCCTTATGGCGCCCTCTACTGGCATTATTTATGTTGAAAAGATTTCCCCAAGCCTACAACACTGACGTGATTGCTTTATAACTGCTTAACTTGAAGCTGAAGACTAAATGCCTTTCTTTATTTTATTTTTATTTTGTACTTAACTTGTATTGTTTAATGTATAATGTTAACTGACAATAGTTTTTCAATAAGCTGTTTTACCGAGACTTTTTCTCGTTTATAAAATATTGAGGAACATTCCACTTTTTGTTGCAGATCTATTTTTGCTACTTGTAATAATATAACAGCTACTCGTTTCCCCCGCCCAAAAAAAAAGTGAGTAAAGCAACCGCCTTCTTTTACCACGAGGTGGCAGCATATGAACAGCTCTGACTCGACGCGTAGCGCACGCACTGATTTTCAGTTTGGAACACAATTCACTTTAAAACGGCCTCACTATTCCAACAATTTCCATTAAAGACTCTTTCTCCTTACAAGTAGTATTTAATCTAAAGTACTTTCCTCAAGTCTACAAAATCTACTTGTGTTTTTGTTTTAGAAAACATTTCTGAAAAGCTAGTAATGGCATTTTAATAACTTTGCCTCTGACTGTGCTGAGAGTCTGAAAAACTGGAAACTCCTGATTCAAGTTCAACAACCAACACATTTTACCTACTTATTTTATTTCTTTGTTTTTGAGACTACCTGGTCAAGATTTAGGCCCAGTGTATATTACATACACATGTTCTAAAGAAATGCCTAGAAATATACAATTTTGTCTACAAAACTTAAGATCATTATATGTTACAAGCTGATCATTTGCTGATCAACCTGCAGCCGGGATCTAAAAACCAAACTGACCACCTTGAGCTGGTATGGTCTAAGGGGGGCTACCAGATTTTCTTTGCACTCTTTCTTGTTTTCTAGGTAGCCTATATGTATATTTGAAGCAAAAAGTTTACATACAGCTTGCAGAATCTGCAAAATACTATAAAAAAAAAAGAGGCAACATAAATTGCTTTTTTTCATTTAGTACTGCCCTAAAAAAGTTTTTCTCATAACAGACATTTACATATAGTCCACAAGACATTATATTATCTGCATTTACACAAATGAAACAATGAAAAAAAAGTTTATATATTGATTATCAATACTGTGTGTCATTATCATCCACAACTTTTTTTATGATTTGTTTTTATGGTAAGCCCCATGTTTGCCCTGTTCTGCAGAAAAATGTCCTGTACATTCTTTGGTTTTCCAGCATCTTCTGCATAGACTGTATGATTTTCAGTTCCATCTTTTCACACTGGTGAGAACTGAGGGACTATGTAAGTATTTTATATAACTTCTGAAGGGCAGTACTAAAAAAAAAAAAAAAAGATCTTAAAATAAAATAAAGACAATTTCCACCAATCATCATGTACAAAAGTTTACACCCCCTGGTTCTTAAAGGAATAGTTCACCCCAAAATTTTTTTTTTTCATATTTTGCAATTTACTCACCCTCAAGTTGCTCCAGACCTGTATGAGTTTCATTCTTCTGTTGAGCACAAAAGAAGATGTTTTGAAGAATGATGGTAGCTAAAGAGTTGACGACAGCCACTGACTTTCATAGTATAGGAAAAAATACCATGAAAGTCAATGGCTACTGACAACATCTTGGCTATCCCAGTATGTTGCCTTGAGCATCAGTGAATGTTTGCAGTTTTGATCATGCAGGTGACAACACACGGTATTAAGAATAAAGAATCAAGTGTATTATAAATTAGCAGTGATAAACACAAAATGCTTTTTTTTTTTATAATCCCCCTTTTTAAATTATTAACATTAATTTTGCAGATTCTTCAAGACTGACTTCATTTATACATATGTTACATTTCTTTCAAATTACTTTTTGTGCAATAAACAATCCTAGTAATCTCTTTTTTCTTGCAAGACACATTAGATAAAGTATTTTAAAAATCCTTTAAATGCATTTTATTTTAATATATTACAATTTAAGTACGAATCAAAGTGAATCTTTCTCAATTTGCCGAAAGAAAAAAGAAAAGCTTTTGAATTAAACCAAAAACCTATTATGAATCGAATCAAGTCTGACCAACCGCCGCAAAATAATGCTGCCCTATGGTTTTCGAAATGTCTCGCAGTCCTAGAACCGGGCCTGTATGATAGAAGGCTTGTTGCTAGTCTAATAAATTCTCCATAGACCAGCTAGAAACCAGCTGCCATGCTTAAACTGGATTTCCAGCAGTCTCATAAACTTGGTTCACTGTAAGTTTTAAAGCCTGGATGCTTTATGGGGAAAGTAATTAGTTATGTATTTTATCAGCATATTGCACTCTTTCTTGTTTTCTAGGATGCCTATATGTATAGTTGAAGCAATAGGTTTACATACAGCTTTGCAGAATCTGCAAAATACTATAATAATAAAAAAAGAGGGAACATAATTTGCTTTTTTTTTTTTCATTTTCTGCCCTGAATAAGTTTTTCACATAACAGACCTTTACATATAGTCCACAAGACATAATAACTTTGTTCACTGTAAGTTTTAAAACCCGGATGCTTTATGGGGAAAATAATAACCCAGACCTACAGATTAAGGTGAGAGGAGGCACTAGGTGGCAGGACGTCACACCGGAGATCCCTCAGTCCAGAACGGGCTGCAGTCGTTCCAACGTGACGTCATTGCTTCCGCAACACCCCCCATCACCCCCCACCCCCAGTGTCGGCGGCTCTCGCCCGCTGCTGACTACACAATCCAACATGGAGTAACGAGAGATGGGGCTCCTCTTCGAGACCAGCGCGCAGGAGACGCGAGGCGACAAACCATCGACAGAGCCACCGGGATGTTGCATAACGCGAGGATTAACCAGATGCATTGCAAACCGTGACGGATAAAGTGCAGTGCGCGGAGAAAGAACGAGAATAAGGAACGCCGAGACGAATTTGGGGGAAACTCGTTGATGCACTGGACTTTAAAAAAGGCGAGGTGGAAAATCGAGACGACATGAAGCCCGAACGCTGCGTGCCCGCGGTGGGATATTATTTCTATTGTAGGTGAAACTTGGGGAAACATGACTGAGGAATCGCACCCAGACGAGTGAGTATTCACTTTTTGCGAAAACGACGCATGTGGACGCGAATGGAAATCTTATCCCGTGTCCAAGAATGCGTTCCCGAGCTCAGTCAGATGCAGGGGATTCCTGCATGCGCCTCGGAGAGAGACGTTGGAGATGTTAATACTAAGAAACAATGCAGTGTCAAAGGGATTTGAGTGCTGGGCCCCTGCTGCAGGGCTCTGGTCTCAAACCGAGAAGGGGGGAGGAGGAGGGGCTCGAGCGGAAACATTTTGTGGAGGGATCCTTTACTGAATACTTTATATCACGTCGACTCTAAAGGCGAATTAGCGCTCCGAGGAAGCGAATAGACGACTGCAAAGCTTCTAAACACACAACGCTAGAGCAACGAGCTCGTATGCGCTCGCAGAGCGGCCGTTCTTGGCGTCTTTCTTTGTGGTGGTCTGACATGCCATATCCGCCATTTCTTTTTCGTGAATCGCTCTCATTTGCATACTGTCCTTCATTCATAAAAATACAGACGGGGGCGCGTGCAGCAGAGCGCCTCAGAGCTGTGCTGATGTTAAAGCAGGCCCTATGTGGCATATATAGGCCTATATGTGCTTTTAAATGTTGCATTTAACCAGTCAGCTTCCTCTTTTGCAAGAAACAAAACAAAAGCGAATCCTATAGACATAAGACGAGTTGCATGATCGTATCGCACAGTGTTGGTTGTCGCAACAGTAGCCTGTATACTTGTTTAGCGAGTATATTGTACTGTTTGAGTGTTTTTCTTTTTGCCACATTCTTCTGCCTAATATAAACACTCATAACTCTCGATAGTTTGACCCAAGCCGATCAAGTCTCGCTAATAGCATTAGAGTCGGCTCGTTAACTTGGTGAACTCTTTAGGGGCTTAAAATTAACTTCTGTAACAAACACTCAACCTGTATTAACAAGGTGATGTTTATTTAGTCTGTTTTTTATACCGCAATCCGTTTTGATAAATCGATTATGTCAGTTTTTATCGTAATACTAATGAATTATTAGTTTTAATAATTATTCTGAAGGAATATTATTTAGAGGAGACTGATGTAACTTTTTTCAATGTATATAACTTGTTTTTTTTACAGTGCAATACTGTAAAATAGCCTACTGTACAGTATTATATACAGTATTATAACCTGTGTAAATTAATGTAATGTGTTGTTGTTACTCCTGTTGTAACGCCAATTTAAAAATAGACATTTTTATGGTGGCTGAGAGAGCTCAACGCCCTGCAACTTCAGAAAGCACGTGAAAATATAAAAAGCACCAGCAAATTAAGAAAACACCATCATCAGTTTGACAGCACATGTGCTGCAAATACTCACAACACAGCCAAATACAAAAACACCAAATCCTCACAACACAAACAAA